TCCACGTTACAGTCTGTGAATATCCCTTCTCAGCCAAACTAAACTCTCTCCCCTCCTCCTCTTACTCATCCCTGGTAAGCGCCTAAGCTGCAGCCCTTCTGGAGGTTGTACTGTTTGTTTTCACTAAAAATTCACCCTAAGAAACCTTCCCTGGAAAAGTTTTATTAAAGCAAAGTCATGGAAAAAGAATTTCAGTTTTGACAAAACAATACTTCCCTGTCATGACTACAACTCTCACAGCAGCATCCTAGGGCATTGTTGTATCCTAGTTACGGGGATGTGGTAAGCTCTGTTTGCTGTTTACAAAAATAAAAGCACAGGCAGGAACTTTTTCTGACAGCTGTCAAAATTAGCAATAAGCTAGTTTTCAGTGAAGAAAGTTTCTGGCAAGCTGTCAACCAGAAAATTGAAAATCAGAAAGAGAACATTTATCAGACGTGAAAAACAAGTGTAGCATTTAAGCATATGCTTAATGGAAGGCTTGGTTTCACTGCATACAGCTCATCTGTGTAGAGGGGAAACAAACAGAAACTTGTATCTGCTTGGGAGAGAAGGAAGGGAAGAGATTAGCCAAAAAGGGGGAAAGTGCTGAGGGAATTTGCAGGAAGGTTTAACACATCCAGTTTAACTTGTTTATTAAGTTGGGAAATTCTGGCTATAGCTCCTAGTCAAAGCCCTTTTTTATCTGCCTTTTTTGCATATCTACACGGAAATTCACCTTACACTTGCTACACAAGTGTATTTGTCTCCCCTGAGGACAATGAAGAATGTAGAACTGGAAAATATTTCATCAAAACCCACAGAAGTTTGTAGTATTCATCATGTCAAATCAGAGTGTTGCTCTAGCAAAATCATCTTTCTACCACAGAGGCAGTGACTCTGCATAAAATCGCCACACTGCTGAACCCATCATACATATCAAAGTACATTTAACCTCCTAGTTTCTCACTGACTTTCAACACCAGTTGCATTTTGAAGCATGACATCAGATAACTTTCTAGAATTGGTAACTAGCAGGAACATGTACTGAGGAAAACAGATATAAAGGGCCTTCACACTGAGAGCACGGGACATGTTAGGAATATATGCCAGGTTTACAAATGACAGTCCAGATGAAAGGAATCTAATACCATTTAAGGAAAAATGAAGCCTTTTTTAATGCCATAGAAACACAGTATCTTAGAATGGTTTGCATTGGAAGGAACATTAAAGGTCATCTAGGTCCAACCCTTCTGCCATGGGCAGGGACACCTTCTGCTACACCAGGTTGCTCAGAGCCCCATCCAACCTGGCTTTGAACACATCCAGGGAAGTGGCACCCACAGTTTCTCTGGACAACATGTTCCAATGCCTCACCATCCCCACAGAGAACTTCTTCCCAGTACTTAGTACAAACCGACTCCTTTTCAGTAGCCATTCCCCATGTTCTTGTAAGAAGTCCCTGCTCAGCTCTCTAGTAGGCTCACTTCAGGTACTGCCCCAGAGCTTTCTTTTCCCCCGGCTGAGCAGCCCCAGCTCTCTCAGCCTGTCCTCATAGGAGAGGTGCTCCAGCCCTCTCACCATAGTCATGACTCTCCTCTGGAGTTACTCCAACAGATCCACATCCTTCTCATGCTGGGGACCTTAGAGCAGGATGCAGCACTTCAGATGGAGGAGAGGGGTTAGAATCACTCTCCAGAGGGGGAGAATCACCTCCCTTAAACCTGCTGACCCCTCTCTTTCTGATACAGCCCTGGATATAGTTGGTTTTCTGGGCTGTAAATGCAGCCAGAAGGTGAGGAGGGAACCATCTGGCCGACTCATGCCAGACTGACACCATAAAGCAGAAATTTCCTGAGTAGTGCATTCAGTTTGCAGTTTGGGTGCTATTTGTGGAAAAAACCAACAGGGAAAGGACTGGTTATCTCACCCTGCTAATATACATGCTCTTCTCTGTCCTTGCAAGTAATATTGTGATTCCTCAGAGGCTAGATTGAATGGTTTTCAGATATATCTTTTAAGAGACAGGTAATATTGAGGTTTCCAAAGGCACAGCAAGGATGGATTCCTCATCTCAGAGGCTGAGTATGTCAGGCCACCAGCAAGATGACATTTTCTCCAAAAAAAAAAAAGAGAAAAAAATCTATCCTATTTTTTCCACTTTCCTTTTCCTATCCTCTTTTTTTCCATTCCATTCATCATAATGTTTTTCTGGGAGGAAATCCATATTCAGATCAGCTATATTAATAAACAAGACAACTTTCCCCAGCTCCCTACTCCTTCCCTGCTAAATAGCAAATTTCCATTCCTTTCCTCCATTTGTTAAAGCAATGACTCAGAGGGTTCTTCCAACGTTGAAATATCCAGGATGTGAAAAATGTTCATACCAAATCAAGACACAAGACAGCCCACTAATTCATAAAGAGCTGTTAATATCATAGTAATCCATCAATACTTTTTTCTCTGGCAGATTTTGACCCATGTTCCTGTTTGTAGGGATGAGGAAATTAATTCCACAATGCTCAACTCATGAAGACCTCTTTCCCCAAGCAATCACTTTTAAAAAATTGCTCTCCAGCCCCTGTCTGAGGTTTTTCCAGAGTGTTTTTTTTTAAGAACAATAAAAGTAGGTGGTAGAGCTAAAATAAAAGATATTTTGTGGTTTGTTATGAAAAAAAATGTCCAGCAAATAGTGGATACATATCAACAGAAAAGATATGCCAAGTCCATGGCCTGTTTCAAACATTCCTACAGCATCTTCTGGCATGGCATATGCTCCCAAACAAAAGCAAGCAGTCTCCTGTGGTGTGTTGACCCTGACAGGACACTAGGTGCCCACCACAGCTGCTCTATCATTCTCCTCTACTGGGCAGGGCAAACAAAATATAACAAAAGCCTTGTGGGTCGAGGTAAGGGCAGGGAAAAAACACTTGAAAATTATTGGCATGGGCAAAACAGATTTGACTCAGGGGAAGTAATTATATTGCCAATCAAATGCCAGTAAGATAATGAGAAACACTTGCTACAGAGCAACATAATGCTGTCCAATTTTTTTAAGCCCATAAATGAGAAACATCACACTATAAAACCATACTACCTTTTCCTATACAAATTTGGAAACAAAAAAAAAAAATATTATACATGCTGTACAGTGGCTGTATGAGTGAACCTACTCTGGTGTTTTACATATATGTCATATGCAGGATTCCAAATTTGTTTGCTTCTGTCCAGAACTGATATGAGGAGTTAAGAAGGTGAGGTCATGAAAAGAGCTCTGTATTACTCATCTGATGCTAATGGGATTTGAGTTGCAGCTGTGATCTTCATGGGGTTGTCATTAGGCCAATGTGACTTAACTGTATTTTATTCTCTGTTTAAAATTCATCTATCAGAGTGAAAGCAGAAATGTGGTTTCTATCACATATAGAGCAATTACCCTTAGTACAAAGCCTGTGGAGAGAAAGGTCTGCTGTTCTTTAAAGAATAGGTAGAATTTAACAGAAGATTTTACAGCAGTAGCACACTTTCTGTGTTTTGCCCAGCTGCCATTGAGTACTACAGAAACCTATAGGCCTATACATGTCCACATTTTTTGCTTTTTTTACTGCCAAGCCTGTGCCAAACCCAAACAACACCTTGCTTAGCTCATTCCTTTGCCTGAGAGTTGTGGTCTGGAAACCTCTCCTCTAGCCGCAGCTGTCTTCACAGAGAGCAGCAGGCACCACCATCCCAGGATTTCTCCTGGGGAAGGCAGTGAGAATGCTCAGAGAAAGAAGAGAAAAGAATTCTTGTCTCTTCACTGCTCCTGTTGTTTGGCACATGTGGAATGTGTTGTGGAGACTGTTTACCAAAAGTGATTTTTTAATTGGGCTCTGGTGATGGTTGTTTGGATTGATTGACCAATTAGGTCAAAGCTGTGTCGTGACTGTCTGTAAGGGTTACGGGTTTTTCTTTAGTAGAATATAGTGTTAGTATAGTATGTAATATAATACAGTGTAGCTTAATGGAGCAATTGTTCAGTCTTCTGAAATCACAGGAGTCATTGCATGTTATTCCCTGGCTGGGAGTTATCCAGCATTGATACTCTCCCAAAAGCTTCTTGGGCTTCAACACCAAGAGCAGTTGCAGCTGCTACCATTTGGTGCTCAAGCAGATGAAAATAGCATTGGAGTAAAGCATTTACTTGGGGACACAGGACACATAACCCATGCTGGAATCCTGATCTGAGTCCTACCACATAAGGTTCAACTTTGTATCGAATGCTCAGCTGAAAGCACTGTCAAAATGCACATGGAAAATCCTCTGTGTTGCAGAAGGTTTGTTGAATATGGAAATTGCAGTTTTAAATGGAAAGGCTTTTGTTTTTCACTGTATAAAACCAAATAAAGCCCATGGCTGTAACTGAAATGTTCTCCTGGGATGAGAAGACTTCTGTTCTCCACCTGATCCCAGAGACAGTACATGCTTTGATTTTCATTAAGTGAATGAAATGACACTGAAGTCTTATTTTGTGAAGAAAAATATTATTTTCATAACATTCTATTTGATCCTATTATTATCATTATAATTACTTCTCACTATTATGGCTGCCACTCTGAGGAATCCATTTGTATGTACATCTGGGTTGTGGCGCTATCAGCAACAAAGCACTTTTAAAATGCACAAACACAATTAAGAACCAACTGCAAAGTGCAGTACAGTGGCTAAATGTCACTTTGCCCTGTCAGACAAGAAAAGTGAAACTCCATTCCAGAGAGCACTGTATATGCATACTTAAATATGGGGCAGAATTGTAATGCCTGACAGCTCCCATAAGCAAAACCACCATATTTTAATGTGATTCATATAGATGGAGGAAATGTCTGAGTTTTAGGCATATACAGGAGTTAATAGAATGGCAGAAAAAAAAAAAAAGAAGAAAAAACCATAATATGGATTTACAGATAGCAGATTTATGCCTATGTAATTTCTATGTCCTTTTCTTTAATTATTTTTCACCAAAAAAGAAGACTGGAACACAAGCAGGAGTTGAAAGAAAGAGGGGGAAGGATACACTAGGTAAGCCTAATTTCTATGCTGTCCACTCCAGACACTTCTTGCACCATGACACAAAACAGAGATAAGAAACATCAGACTGAGGAAAAAAGTGCTCCAAGAGCACAAAATACCAGCTTACCTGCTCCAAATGGTACCATATTAATGCTAGTTTTCTGCTGAATTTTTCAATTACGGCAGTTTTGGCCATAAAAGATTCTTCTTCAGGGAAGACAGAAGGAGGTACATGTCCCTAAAATGCATCCTGACATTCTCAGGGCTAATTAACAGTGGTTTTGCCAAGTACATTACAACTTCACAGTATACCAGTATTTTCACTGATCAATCAAATATTTGTCCAACAGATGCAGACTTTCAAAGCTGTCTTTCAGATATCTGAAAATAGAAATTAATTTTTTTTTCCCATAGTAAGCATTTACTGAAGAGCACGATTTAGTTGCAGGTCTATCATTAGACTGCCTTCATGTCTGCTTCCGGGTGTTGCTTTCTGAAAAGCTTCTTGTACAGGAAAGTATTTAAAAATTATAGGGGCTGTTCTGGGAACAGACAGCTAAGTATTTAATGAGAGACAGTTTGGGAGGAAATGCATCAGCAGTAATAAGTACTTTTCTTCCAGGACATTATGGCCTCTACCAAGAAAGTCTGCAGTATTTCACAGTAGTTTCCAAACTCTCCTTTTACCTTGCACTGTTCTCCCACTCTGCCAAATGTTTTGTACTTCAGTAGCAGGGTTGTCTACTTTATCTCCATACATCAAGACCCTCTAAATTGTTTGGGTTTTCAAAGCTTTTAAAACACATTTCAGCTAATTTGAAGAGAAATCAGTTGCTTTACAATATATAGAAGTAAAATACATAAAATCAGAGTGTGTAAATTAAAAGCACAAAGAAATCTTGTACACCCATACATAGGTACACAAGTGCTCACAATCTCTAGTTTTACGTGTCTCCTAGCTTCTGTACACTTTTCCTAAGCAACTGCTGTCACTGTCAATACAATTTTCTCTCATACTATGTACCCACTATCAAGCCTTCACACCTTTAAAGCACTAATAGACAATAATACCTCCAGGAGGCTTACTACAGGGTTTGCTACAAATTTGCAGGGGAGCACAAAGCTGTAGGTATTTTTGGTATTCCTTTCAGCAGGGAAGCAGCAACCTAGATTCCTACAGCTATCAGTCTGCCCCAGGGTTTGTTTACTGATGAAGGAGATGGGTATTTCCCTTCTGTAGATCCCTAAGCCCACCTGAGATGTGCCACTGGTATTAACAGAATTGAAAACTGAATAAGAGAACTTGTATTTGCTGCCAACTATCAAATCAACATTGGAGGGAAAGCAAAGTGAACAGGCTGGTAATTTCCATGATTGTTTTGCAGAAATGGTTGTCCTGATTCCAGCTGGGTTATTGCTAATTTTCTTCCGAGCAGCAAGCACGGTGCTATGTTTTGGATTTAGTATGTTGATAACACACTGATGGTTTAGTTGTGGCTAAGCAGGGCTTACTTACCCTGAGTCAAGGACTTCCCAGTTTCCCATGCCCTGCCAGCAGGCAGGTGCACAAGAGGACAGGAGGGAGCTCAGCCAGAACACCTGACCCAATCTTGCCAAAAGAGAATTCCATGCCACAGGATTTCATCCTCAGTGTATAAACTGGGAAAAGCTGGCCAAGAGGAGCCAGGCACTGTGTGGGATGGACTGGGCACTGGCCAGTGGGTGGTGAGTGATTGTATTGGGCATCAGGTGTCTGTCCTAGGTTTTATTTTTCTGTCACCATTATATTACTAATATTATTAGTATTAGTATCAATATCAGTACATTTTACTTTATTTCCATTATTAAACTGCTTTTATCTCAACCCCCAAGTTTTTTGGAGGGGCAGGAATGGGCAGTGAGAAAGTGACTCCATTGCTCTTTATTGCCAGCTGGGGTTAAATCACAGGGGTGTAACCCAAAGCTGAGCAGCCCTTGCACACAGTGGGACAGGTTTTACCCAACACAGCAGGAAAAGCAGCTCCTGCTCTCAGCTGCTCCCCTCCAGGAAGCAGCTCCCAGTGTTCGTTCACTCTTTTGCATTATCCACACAGCTGGACATCAAAACACTTTTACCTAAGTGATCAAAATCTGCAGTCTGAGATCATTCCACCTTGCATGTCAGGGCTTTATGCAGCAACAGTTCCCAAGCCACATGCAGTCCAGCAAAAAGAAAAGCCCAAGCCAAAATACTTTGATTCAGTCAGTTGAAATATCTTCCAATCTCTCACTCTGGCATTGAATAGATGTGCTCACTACATTGTATTGCACATCTGTAAGATCCAGTTAAAAAATATCCAGGCACAATTACTTTTTTTAATTGACAGATTACATAAGTTGTCACAAACTCAATCAATTTTGCTGAAACCATATTTTCTTCTGAAGAAAAAACTTCATTGGGAAGACAACAGCCAATGATTAAGTTTGATTAAGAATTGATAAGTAATTAAGGGAAATAAAATCCCAGCACAATCTCCCTGTCTTCTTTGCAAAGATTACATTAATTTAGCAAAATCAAGGGAAATTCTGGCTCAAAATGGTGTGTTTTCCCTTTGCCTTTCACAGGACAAAAATTTCATTTTCAGTTTTCCCTGAATTTCTCATCACGTTCAGATATTGCTCATTAACTAAACTTGGGGTTTCACAGCATCTAAGCATCATTTCTCCACAATGTGTTGGACAGTCCAGAACCAGAACACCAAGTATATCTTCCAAATAAAATACTTCTCAGTTAAAAGCAGCAGAAACACAGAAAGTGACATATTAGCTATCCATACTAGTTGACTGATTGGAATTTAGCCCCACAAGCAGGTCCATGACCATGCTTTTGCAGTATGGAATTTTTGGAACCTCCAAAAAGAAAGGGATGTAAGAGTGGTTGTAGCAAGTGCAAGCAATTCCCAGGCTGCCTGCCTGTGTCTGCCCCATGTTGCCATCATCCTGAGCCCATGGCACAGCACAGCCTGTCCCTGCTGCCCCATTCCCCACCCAGACCTGCTCCTGGGCCAGGCAGCTCCTACCCTGCCTTCACCTCTCGCTGCATCCTAGAGCCAGCACAAGAGAGAGAGAAAATCATTTGCTTGGAGTTACAAAGTAAGTAAACTGCTTTGCAGTGGGAATTCAGTCATCTAGAAGCAGATTCTGTGAGCAAAAGCATAGTATCATTTCTAAAGTACTTTCTCATGTGTTAAAGATGTCTTGGCCAGTTTCCTGCTGTTTTTCACTGAAGTGCAGTAAGCTGCTCAATTTGACAAGAAAACTTCCAAGACACCTTTCTACTGCATTCAGACTAATTTGGCTGTTAATGTTCAATTATAGAAATAAACCTTAAGGACACATTCCTATAACATTTTGCAAGCTTAATTGTTAGGAAGTTATAATTTCCTCCCACTGTGATGGAAATTATGATCTTCTTAAAAACACAAACCTCAAAAATATTATTAGAAGCCTCCTTTTTTCAAATTAAGAACATTGATTTTTCATTACAATACAAAGCATTGCACTTAATGTGTAGAACAAAAACCCTATTCAATTACAGACTTACATATGCAAATGGTAAGTCATGAACAGGAACATAGGTTATTTTGAATGAAAATAGTTCATTAGATTCTAGTTCTTTCCCATTTCACTTGCTCCTAACTTGATAAATACCTTGGATTTTCAACTTTTACCTTAAACATTCTCTTTTTGTGGCCATTTAAAGGTCAGGACTTAGTTTAGAAAGCTGGATGCATGTTAAGAAAATGAATGAATGACAGAATAGGAGGTGAGACTCAGCACTTGTGTAAGCATCATTCACTTCCCCAGGTAAGGAAAGCATCCTGAGGTCAGCTAATCATTCTTCATGTAGAAACAATCAGAAAGTGCTAGACTTGTCCAGAAAGAGTTGTCTTGAATATTTCAACAGCAGCATTTATCAAACTAATATAAAAAAATTTGACATACATGACTGTATTAACAATAAGGTATATGGAAGTCCTGCAGAAGGCTGAATTTCTACAGCATTTCCACAGGAACTGGACTGCCAGCTAGTCCAAGAAAAAACTCATTATTTTTACTGGTGTGCAAAAGGCATTTTTGGTCTGATAGGACCAAATCAGATTGTGTTTCTGACAAAATTTTTGCATGAAATGAAGGCACTAACATTATTCTTTCTTTTGTGTAAAGAACAAAATTAACAAGAAGATATATGGTGTGTGTGTTCAGGGTGAAGATAATAGGAGCCAAATTTCAGCAACATCAGTAGTGGGAGTTGTGATATATAACATCAGGAAGAAAAAAGTCTATAGACTGGAAGTTAGGCTCCATTTTACCATAAACTTACCTTCAGCAAGCTAGTAACTTATTTATCTATGCCTTGACACTTCCATCTTCACAGGAAAACAGAGAAAATTACTGAAGTCATAGGACTGTATCAAAGAAAATACATCAGCATCAATAAACCAGGATCTTTTTCCATGCAGTGCCATTAAAGCATCCAGTAATATTTAATTTCCATTGTATCAATCCAGTTAGTTCATGTGCTACTTCCCTTGTTTCTAATTTGTCAAATATTTATTTCAGTCTGCTTACATACTGTCCAGGAAAACAAGTTACACATGAGAGTGTTTCCTCCATGTAATGAATATAAAACAACTTTTCATCAATTTTGTAACAAGTGAAACATTTGAAATTTTCTAGCCTCTTGTTCAATATACACTCTGAAAATGCATATTATATTATTCAGACTCAATAAAGAAACAACCATCTTGGAAAATCACACATACAAAACATTACACAGAGATGATTAAACATGTGATAACAATTCCCATTAAATTCCAGTATTTTTGAATGCCAAAAGGCTTGACCATACACAGACAATAAAATCACTTCGGTGTGTGGGTAGATCATGCTCAAATTGGATTTTCACAACACAAACAAGGGTTACAGATATATTAATTGAGGACAATATTGATTATAGCTGTGGCACTGTTCACAGAAACCTAGCACTCTTCACTGTTAAAGAGGATCAAGTTGTCAAACTCCGTACTTTAGAAGCAATCACTGTTGGGGCAGAAGTTTCTGGTACAGTTCAGTTTTATGACCAAATGTTGCCTTTTGCAATGTTACATATTGTAAAGAGAAAAGTGAGAACTATTCTTATCCGGAATCACCTGGTGCAACACAATCTTTTCACTCTGCAAATGTGTGTTTTAGTGCTGGCTCAAGTACAGCAGATATGGTGCCAAAACCTGACCATCAACCAGGTCCTTCTCATTTGAGCTGATTTACAGGAGATTCTTGTTTATCAATAATAAACTTGCATTAGTTCAAACTGATGGGATTTCTGAAATATTCCAGAAATGTCTGTCTGGGTGAGTCGATTTCAAACTGCAGTGGTAATCTGTGTCAGTCCTAGGTCATTGGACTCCTCCCTCTCCTGAGGACAGTAAGAGGACATTTCCACAACTAGTCATACAGGTTTGTTTGCCCCACCTGCTTCTCTCATGTAAGCTGGGTCTTGCACAGTGTTTCTGACTCTGCTGGTGCTCTGCCTGTCCATCCTCATCTTGAAGGGGAAGCAGAAGTCCTTGAAGCATCTCTTGAAGTTTTCATCCAAAAAGGCATAAAGGATTGGGTTGAGGCTGCTGTTGGTGTAACCCAGAGCAATGCAGAAGTAATAGCTGGATATGGCAGCAGTGCTGTGGGACACGTCCCCTAAGGCCTCCACCAGCACAAAAATGTGAATTGGGGTCCAGCAGATGATAAAGACTGCCACAACCACAAGCACCAGCCTGGTGATGCGGCGCAGGTTTCGGTCTTTCTCCCGAGAGCCAGAGAGAAGCCGCACGCTTTTCAGGCGCAGAATCATCAGAGTATAGCAAACAATTATAATGAGAACTGGAATAACAAACGCAAAGACAAAGACACAGATTTTCATGAAGATGTCCCACCACACATAATCTCTGTCTGGAAACTGCAAGGAGCATTCAGTGCTAGCGGTATCTAAAAATGAAGGAAGCAAGAAGAAAATTGCTTTGTTATTAGATATTCTAAACAATGTCATTATCATAGCGTAACCTAGGAAAAGTGATTAGCATGTACTGCGATATTAATAAATGGAGTTATCATTAAATCACTCCAAGGAAGCTTTCAGTTCCCATTGAAACTGGTTTTATGCAGCTGTGTCTAGAAATTACTGAGTTTTGAGCTTTTTCAAAAGCAAAATATTGTATGAAATTTCTTTCCCATGGGAGGATCAAAAAAAGCAGAGCACAAAAACAAAATCTGTGAAGTCGTTTCTATTTGAATCTCACTGAGATTTAAAACCAGACTAAGTACCATGTTCAGCAAAGCAGAAATCTCATCATTATTATCAAACTACATATGTTTTTGTCTGTGGGTGGAGAAAGATTTTTGGTATCATGAATGGTAGAAGCTGAAGGAGGTTTTGATAGTAAGAAAATTTTGCCAATATATGATAATTTTGTAATAACCTTTTCCCATGTGCCTTTCACAGCACAACTATGATACACACAAATGCTTACATTCAGAAAAACCCATGGAAACATCTTCCTTTCTGTTAAATAGAAGCAAATAAAAAACATGTGTGCATGGAGTAAAATGGCAGCTACTCTTTTTGCAGATCATGCCGTTGGAAATGCAGCTTGTGCAGAGACTGCAGGATCTGGGCCAGAGAGATCAGTCCACTCCCTTTCCCATTGCCCATGCCAGGATTCGGAGCCACAGGCTGTTACTTGAATGTGTTTAGCAGAAATATTTCATCTATCAGGAGGAAGCTAAGGAATGAAATATTTGAAGCTTAATTTGCTGAACTCATTAGAGCCTTCCAGCATATAAAACATGTGGAAAAAGAAATAATAAGATAAATGAAAAGGCAAGGGAAGGGGTAAATTTACAACTACTGTCAGCAGTTCAACTTTACTGAAGATAAGTCTGGGTAACACAGAGATTTTTCACTCTGAATTGTAGCTTATCCTGTAAATTTCTTTGGATTTTTTATCATTTTCCCTACTGAGTTTGTCATTCCTCTACGAATTATTATGTATTGTTTTTCATTGATTCTAAGAGTGGAATGATTTAGTATACTCCTGCACATCACTTTTTCATATCTGTCTCCATCAGGACACATCAGAAAAAAAGATCAGGCCATATTTCCCTGCTATAAAAATGCTTTCCAAATCAAAAAGATATTGCAGAAAATTTGTTTGGAAAAACAATTAGGAGAGGAAGTTATCATTATAGTGCCATACACACATTTCCATGGTTAGATATCAGAAAGCTGTTACTGGGCAATATTGAATACAGAAACATTTTAATAGAAAACATTTACAGCTAAAAATGTTAAATATTTTTGGGGTTTATTTTAAATAAATGTATGATTCTGAAAACTGAACGTGGAAAAGACATATTTTTTTAGGCTGATACAGGATACTCAGATAACAGCTAAGTGAGACTTGACACTCAGTGAACTTGTATAAATCTTTTGTGATGCAGGTTTTCATAAGCATACTTGCTTTCACCTGATTTCATTCTAGAAATGCCAACAATTGTCTTGAAAGAAGTTTTCCTGTCAATTATTACTGCTATTTGTAGTAGATCACGGCTTAGCAGCCATGACATAGAATCAGGATGCAGCTGTGTTACCTAAATTAGTAAAGCTGCCTCCAGATGTGTGGGATGAAAATGAAGTGTGGTCAGGGATGGCTGCTCCAGACCACATCCAGCTACTCACTTCAACCCACTCCCAGAAGAAATGGCCTCTTCAGATCTATTGACATAATTTCACATATTTATCAAAATTTTTAGGTCATCCTCATGGTATTTTGCTATCATTTTTGGTTGGCAATGTTATTTTAGAATTCCAAATTATTGAATATGAACTTAATTATTATCTTGCATCTCATTGCAGTATACTTTCTACGGAAGATCTTATTCTAAAGTCATTATTATTAATGTATTGCATATGATACATGTAATGACATAGCATAGTACTTTGTGGAATCCATTTGCACTTTCCCAGTTTACAAGTAGGAAACAATCAATAGAACCTCTCATCATAATGCACAACACTATATTAATTTTCTGGAACTTCGGAAGTGGAACATAATAAAATCCAATTTATATTCTATTTTTACTGCCTGAAAAGTTGCAGAACTTATGAATAGTGTCATAATCTTCAGATGTCATACTGACATTTTCCACTTGGAAGCACAAATATTCCAAATATATTGATATTTTAAGGAAAAACACTGAATTCCATGTGGTAGTTGGTGTAAATATATTTTATAATGTCCTTGATAAACTACCATTTAAGATTAATCTTAATATTGGTCTAGGAAACATACATGTTATATATACAATATTGACTGTGTAACTTTCATACCCTTCATATCCTTACTGGCAATATGAAGAGTTAATTTTATACCTTTATTTTTTTTGGTAGCTGAACAATTCTTCAGCAAGAAAACTTCCATTATGGCCAGAGTAGGAAAATTTACACAGATGTAAAATTTTTTTTTTTTTATTCTGCAGGAAAAATGTATCTAAAGGACACACCTGGGAGCAATTCTGAGCTGTGATAACAAAATGGATTAACTGAGCACGGTGAGGGAACCTCAAGTATAATCATTTTCCATTTGCTGTTCAGTTGTTGCTTAAATGTGAACCCAACAGAGGCCCTGAAGCATATAAACAACGACTGTTTTAGGCAACATGACATCAAATTTCAGGGCTGAGTTCCAGCTGTCAGGCAAGGGGAGCATCCTTGCCTTTCCACTTCAGCATTTATCAGAGCAAGTCATGAGCACACCAGACAAGGTAATTGACACTAAATGCTCGAGAGAGACCTTAGATCAGACAAGCAGGGAGGAACAGTAGCAGCTGACAAGCAGCTGCCAATATTTCCAACCTCATTTAGCCCAGCTGTGTTCTGTATTACCAGCCTCTGTTTCATAAGTTATAAAAAGGGCTGCCTTCTACATGGCATGGAAAAGGCATTAAATCATTGCTGGTCTCAGAGGAGCCCCTTGATCTAAACGTGCTGCTGACACTGAATGACAGGAATATTCTGTTAGTTGAGCAGGCTCCAACAAAACACCTGCCTGAGCCAGTGTCCCATGGCCTTCAAGATCTCGTATGTAGCAAGACATCCTTCCAAACATGCATGAAGTTAATGTTTCCCCAGGCAGACCTTGTTTTATAGAGCCTGTCAAAACTTTACTGGGGAGAAGAGCTACAGCACTGCAGACCAAGACACGTGATCCCCCAAAGCACTGAAAGAGGAGCTTCCAGAGGACTTCTCTGTAACCTACATAACAGAAGACTAACAGCAAGAGCAAAATCTATATATCTTTAGCCAGATCTATCAGCCCTTGAGCAGCTGTTACTGAAATGATTTTTCATGTTGGTCTATGTCAAACAGCTTAACATACTGCATTTATTGTCTGCCAGATGAAAGAGTGCCCTTAGGTAAACACTGGTCTCAAGAGCAATGAATCCTTTCTAAATAAAAGAGGTTGATAGTGCAGGAAATTATGAATAGTTTTTCAAAAGGCTGTTTATGTCTCAAACAAAACTCCTACCAAATAAATGCCTGTATTTTATCCAGCAATCCAGTAATGGGATGATCCCAACCCAAGGACACCGTTAGAAGCCTCCAACTTTTGAAAATCCTGAGATGCCCCTGTACTGAACTTGCACCTGTGGGTATGAAGCACTTGTGTGAGAAAATGCTTCTCCCCCTTCCTTCTCAAGGAAGATCTCAAAATCAGACTAACCCCATAGCAGGGTAATGAGTCAGAAGCTGCAGGAGCTAAATCCACAGTCCTTCATGGAACAGGCGTTTCAAGCAAAGCCTACACATGATCTGCATACAGTTTTCATTGACTTTGTGTTCTTGTAACTGTTTCCCTGCCATAGCCTGAATTTCCATTTCCTGTGACAGTCCTTGTTCTCACCTTTTCCAGGTTTCCATATAAATTCCCATCCCTTTTTAAATATGACCTTGAGATACTGTCATATATAATTTACCTTAATTTTCTCTCTCATGCAATGGACTTTTCCTTTCCTACTTTCTTTTTCTTTCTTTGCCTTCAAATTCTGTGAAATGGCCGGTGATAACAAACTGACAAGAATTCTAGTTTCTGCTCTTGGGACTTCATCAGAACTACTCTCACAACATCTACAAAAAGAACCTTAACCCACATTTCAAGTTTCAACCTAAACTGATTCTAGATTTGCCCATTGTGACTAAACTCTGGAAAATTTTCCCCTGCTGTCTGCTTGTAGTTTTTGATGGTCTCATTCTAGCAGAGGCAGTGCTTCAAAGTGCATTTTGTTCTTTTATTTGGTATGGGCATCTGAGCTTTAATTATTTATATGTTGCACTGCAATGTTTTACTATATATTTCAAAATGTCAAGAATTTAGGTGTAATTTTGAAGAAGGAGTAAATAAGGTTTGATCAATATTTGAACCTACAATTTATTGTCAGTTGATAAATAAAAAGACTGCATTTTGTATGCTGACACTCACCTTCCCTGACTTTGGTGCCTCCAAGAACTATTGCTGATATACCAACAGATGAGGACAGCAGCCAGATACAGATGTTGATTATCTTTGCTTTGAGAGGTGTACGAAAGTCCAGAGCCTTCACAGGGTGACACACAGCAATGTACCGATCCACACTCATCATGGTGAGCGTGAAAATGCTGGTAAACATGTTGTAATAGTCAATAGAAATCACTATTTTACACAGCACATCGCCAAAGGGCCAGGAGTTCATCAGGTACTCGGTGCTTTGGAAAGGCATGGTCGTGGTAACAAGTGCATCTGCCATAGCCAGGTTGAAGATGTAGATGTTGGTCGCTGTCTTCATCTTCGTGTACCTGCAGAATGAAAAAAGTAAGGCTTTATCACTACAAGATATGATTATGTCCATTCAGATAGTAACAGTTCATCAGTCAGGCTTTGCCCTGGTTGGGGTTTTTATGTCTTTTCTCATCTGTGGTACAAACATGAACAAATGCAAGACCCATGGGATAAAAGTGAACACACTTTATTCAATCTCACAACAGCTGTATTAGCAGTTAGAGCTATTTACCATAGGCAAAACAGGTGTATGAGTACATTTAATCTAATTAGACAAATTTCAATTCAATTTTCCTCAAATCCCACTACAAGAAAATATCACTGTTAAATTTGGAAATTATCAAAATTATTTTTGTTTCCTTTTCTCATAGCTATCTGTCAGTGATTGTGAGATTTCTGGGTTTGGTTTGTGGAAGAAACTGTTATGCCATTCTCCAGTAAGAAAACAAGTTAATTGTTATGTTTGCTGGGCCACTTTGTCTTGCTTGAATTCACTACAATGCCAGCTGATACAGTTTTAGTCATTTACCTTCCCTGTTCCTTCCTTGCCAATTTCTTCTCCTTTCTTACCATCAGCTTTTCCCAGTCCTCTCTTTTATGACTGGTAATGTAAAAGATGACTATTGTTTAAGTAGGATACCACAGTGGGGAAAAAACCTGTCATAGCAGTATTTTTTCTTGCATTCTTTAATTTCATCAAAAGTAAGCCTTTGGTAGGAATCTCAGCCTGCATAGAATAATAGGATCTGATTTTTGAGATGACATCCTGCTTTGTTTGACCCCAAGGACAGTTTTGGGAGACAGCCTGTGGAGGACTGCTTCCCTCTCTGTGATGGACACAAAGGATGATGGAGAGCCTGCTGACATGGGAATTTACTTATCACTCCTGTCCGAAATGCTTCTCCTCAGTACTTGTGTTTGCTGATGCTGTTAATTTATCATTGGATTTAATGAGATTTTCTTTCCCAAAACTGCTTCAGTCCCATACTTTGGGTGTGTGTCCAAACTAGAAGTGCGCACATAACACACATAGAAACACGCATAGCTACATTTTGCTATATGCCACTGATAATTTACAGTGGAAATATCAGATTTAACCACTTTAGTCAATGATCACATAACACAATGTTATTTGCCTTCAAAACTTTGATGTGTAGAATAAAAAATATTTTAAAAATAAATTAAACAGTGGTGTCAAATTGTGCCCAATATGTAAATTAGTTATTAAAAAATGTGGGCAGGAATTTGATTTTATGAACAATATGAAATGTTAAAAATAACATTAGGTTTTCTAAAACATTCTAATAAAGGCTTATCGAGGAAATAAAGGCAAATGTTGGTCTGAAGCAAAGGGAAAAAAAATCTGCAAGGGAAGAGAGAACACATCCTTCTCACCCACATACTGAACCATCAGTCAGAGTTGGGCTTCTGCCCCCCACTAGATCAATCTCGTCAACAGACCCTCCAGGAGAGGAAGAATTTTGTCCTGTAGGTCACATTATAGCCCTTAAGGCACTATTCAAACACAAGTATGAGTCCTTACTATTAGAAAAAAAGCAAATACAGGATATATCAGACAAATAACTTCCCTCCTGGTTAAAAAAATGAAAGGAAAAAATACTATCTTCAAGTGTGTCTCAGCTGTAAGACCAAACAAAAGTTCACTAAACACTCAAAACTCTCTACTAAAATGGACTCATTTCCATTAAATTAAATAGAATAATAGAAGGACAATTTTACTTCTACGGACGTCACTGATGATATTTGGAATTGCTGTCTTGTTCATATTGCAATAAAGAGACTGTGGAAAGCTGGAATGGCTGCGTAATGGGACTGGAGGGACTGGAGAAAATTCTCTGACTGACATAAAGAGCTGAGCACATTTAGTTTATCAAAAAAACCACCAAGAGGTGACTTGATTACAGTGTCTGAAGACCTTCACAGGGAGAAAATAGCAGGTACTGAAGAGTTCTTTCAGACTACACAGAAAAGCATAACAAGAACAAATACATGAATCTCTTAAGAGAGACAAATTCAGCTTAGAAACACTGACAGCTGTTTCTTAACAGCTAAGGTGATTATCATGGGGAAAAAGAAAGGAGTAATTTTTCCATCCACTGATGCCTGCAAATCAAGGTCTGCTGCTTTACAAAGAGTTTGCATCAGTCAAATATAAGCTACTGTACTTAACACAGGAACATTCAGAAGAAATGCAATGACCTTTGATAAGCAGACGTGACACAAGTAATCATTCTCCTGAATCATTATACCTGTAGATCTTTAAAAACTTCGCCAAGGGTTTGGATAAAGAAAGTTTGCTTTCAAAAAGTATAGAAGAATTAGCTTGACCTTTCTTTCCTTTAAGAAAATCAGAAAACTGGGGAAAAATATCTAAGATTTTATTAGCCTTGGAAAAGCAAATATCTCAAAGTCTTTATATCTCGTATTTCCCATTCCTTGCAACCTTAATTTAATTATTTTATGTGTGTGCCATTACAACTCTATAGGCCATATTTTCCCAGTACCCTTTATCCTTTTACTTCTCCCTAGATTAGGTGGAAAAATTGCAAACAAGTGCTGTAAAGCCAGGCTAGTAAAGAGCTTGATTACTTTTGCCTGGAAACCTTGGCCTGTGTATAAATGTGGTATTGCTCTTTAAAGTTATTAGGCAGTATAGATAAAGTCATACATTCATTTAGAAGTTCAGAAAATTCAGAAATGCCTTTGAGAATCTGGAACTCCTTGAATGTTTTTAATTAAACACCTGAGAATTATTAAATGCCTACATGCCTCTGAAGATATGTGCTTGAATGTTTAATCTCAACTGTCCAGATTAAGTAACAGAGTGGCTGCTGTTGCTGTCAGACCCTTTCAAGCAGACCCTGATAAAGTTCATAAGATAAGGGATTTGCCTGCTTTCCTACAACTCATTCTATTGCATCAAAACATAGAAGGAAATAATATTTTGTGGTCTGGGGTTATCTCACCATCCTCTCCACTCACTTGAACAAGGTCAAAACAGTGATTATGTAAGGGAATCGTGTCTTCTTTTGCAAAGTTAAAATTCTTGATCAAATATCTGAATTCATTTAAGCAAAAATATTTCTATCTGCTTTAATTAGTTTAGCAGGACAGATAGGGTAAATCTGAACATAATTACAGCATAAGTGCCTCAGTAGCAATTAATGGCATTTCTTAGTGTCTGATGTACAAGTTTCAAATACTATTACAATATTTATAAACCATGGCTGTGTGAACTGCTCATGGGAAATCCCACGTCTGAAAAGTGGTTCGTTAGATACAGGGACTTAAGAGAATGGCAACATTTCTAACATGACATAGGAATGGAAAGTCCCTCTTTTAAACCAGGTGCTAGAATCTAATTTCAAGCAGCAGAAAAAATCTGATCACTTAAGCAGGTGGATCTCAAGACTGCTTGTAAAGCTATAAGCAGGGCTCAAGCTTCTGTAAGCTAAAAACTAGAAGATATATCAAAAGTGCAGGAAAACAGTCAAGATGAAACACAACACTTTCATATGGATGCTTTTTTTTTTTTTTTTTGATGGGTATGTGATGAAATTTTTAAGGAGCAAGTTTTAAATTCTGTCTACTTACATATCAAAAGTAAAATTCTCAAAGCTATTAGGCATCATTCACTTTCCAAAACCAGAAAGTTCTTTGAGACTGACTTTACACTGACCCCTAGAAATCTTCCCTGTGTTTCTCAGTCAACTCATCATTACTGTTCTTTTCCCTGGAGCAGAACATGCTTTTAAGACAGTAAATAAGAAGAAATCACACCTCCAGCCTACACTATCAATGAAATTGTGGTAACAGAAGAGGGAAACATGCTACTGAGGATCTGGTGTGCTTTCAGAAAGCGATCTGCTAGTAGTGCCCCTTAAAGTTATTATCTCCAAGAGAGGAGAGAATTGTGATTTTAAAGTACACTGTAACATTAGAAAAGCTGATAAAAGGGGAGAAAGAGGCTCTGGTCAAATTTTTTCATGTAACTGTAATAGGATGGAGTAATGAAATGTTCCCTGCAGTGTGAAATGAGGGATGGGGAAGGGAGCAAAACTAACAAATATACTACAAAGGGAAGATAACAAATATACTACATCAAATATACTAAAAATATACTACTCCAGTTGCAGAGGGAAAGTACAGAAGCATAAAATAATGAGGAATCGCAAACACAGGTTTTTCACAGATACCTGGGTAAGAGAATGAAAATTAGAGCTAAAGCACATCTAAAGCAAATTGCAAAAACACCTATCAGCAGGATGCAGGCTCTGTTCCACTAGGTTCCTCTGAATGAAGTATATGGAGATCAAGCAGCTGAAAAGCTTAGTCAGGAAAGCTCTAAATCTCAAGGCTATATTCTGAGTATAGTCAGTATAATACCGCATCAGAATAGGAAGAAAAAAACAGAAAACAATCCAGGAGGATCCATTCCAAACCCATACAATGTCAAAAGGATGGCTCAGCTCTCTCTTGGATATTCATAATCCAATATAAAATCTTATGCCAATATGAAGACTAAGGTCATTTAAAGAATATAAAAATTAACAAGCTGTAATTGTCATGTTTGTATTGGGTTATATGACATTATCATATTTTAAATTGCCACATTTTAGCAGTAGAGGATCTCAGATGGCATTTTAAATAAAGGAAAACCTTGTTACTGCACATATTTAATGGTTGCCTGTCTTAATCAAATCTTTTAGGACCTAAAATTGTTGTCTACAAAATTACATCATAAAGTGGAATTCTCTTTACTAATAAGCATCTAAAGATACCAATTTTAAAGCAGCTCAAAAAAGAAAAGCATAAATTTGTCTTTTATTCTTCCCCCAGACAGCATAATCTATGTGAATGTCAAAAGGTATAGTTAAAATCCTTACAATTTTCCGCTACCATTTCTTCCCTGCACTAGCCCTAAACAGAGCCTGAACAGGATTTAATCTTGTGGATTTAGATTGGATGTGAAAGGTTTTTTCCTGAGCTAAAGAAC